AGTCATACCCAACCCCAAAGTGTGGCACACCCGAGGCTCGAACTCGCGACCTGTTAGTTTAGAAGTCAACGCCTCTAACCACTGGGCCACGAGCCCGTTGCCCTGTCGGTTTCGATCGGGAATATACAATGTTAGGAGGCGTCCACTGATCGTTCTTACGGAACTCACTCGTTCCGTTGTGCCTTACAGACTCTCTCTCGAGCCCAACCAGCAGCCGCACAGCGGCGCATGATATAGGCAGAATGGTATTACCGACAAAGACAAGGTAGTCTGGAATGTCGGTAATACCATTCTGCCTATTCATATATATCTTGGCAGATTTTGAATAATTCATATTGAACCAAGTGTGAAAAACTCGGCGCCTCGGTGGGATTCGAACCCACGCAGTAAGGGGAAGGCTTTAGTACAGCCAACGCTCTAACCACTTGAGCTACGAGGCTCCGCCGGACGACACGAGTTTAATCACATTTGGGTCAAGTTACCCGCCCAACCTACTGCAACGTCTGGAATCCACCAAATCTAATACAGTAAGTTGACTGCCCAAGCAGGATTTCCTAAGTAATTCACCTAGAATCAACCAGGCGGGTAACTTAACCAAATGTGATTAAACTCGTGTCATCCGGCGGAGCCTCGTAGCTCAAGTGGTTAGAGTGTTGGCTGTACTAAAGCCTTCCCCTTACTGCGTGGGTTCGAATCCCACCGAAGCGCCGAGTTTTTCACGGTTGGGTCAATAGGAATCAGGACATTAGAATGCGCCTTTTCATTCATTCATTTCATTGGCTGCGTCTATCGCCCTCCCAACGCCAATGACAATTTTGATCGTTTACTCTCACAGGCATTTCATGCTGCGGCCGACTTAAGCTTTAAGTATCAATTGGTTGCGGGTGACTTTAATCTCCCTGAAATCCGCTGGTCTCCGCCTTCAGGCCCCAGAAGGTTCGATGACTTTCTTGAGGCTGTGGATGTTGGGATGTGGAATCAGATTGTCGATTTTCCCACCCGAGGCTCAAGTATACTTGACCTAATTTTCTGTAGAGGCTGCTTGCCATCGTCAGTGTCATCCCTAGGCCCACTCGGGGGCTCAGACCATGACATAGTTGTTTCAACGTTGGAATTCGAGGCTGACGAAATGTCGTTCCAAAAGTATAACTTTTTCCGCAATTTCCGATCAACTCGCTCAACCGAATTATTAACACACCTTAATTCCTATGACTGGACTGAGTTCTTCCTTAGTTCGGATGTAAACGTTTGCACTGCAAAACCGTACGAAATTTTGGATCCGCTTATTTCTCGTTTTGTCCCTCGTAAGAAAATTATTAATGTTGGGGATGAGATTTTCCTACCTTTACCCTTTCGTCGCAGATTGCGCAGGCTTTATCGTCGTTTCCATCTTCAGAACGATGTTTCTGTTCTTCCCTTGATTTGTGATATTTTTGTGCGAGCTAAGAGATTGTCTGAAGAAAAACAGCTAGCAGAAGAGGTCCAGTTTACCGAAAACAATTCGTTAAATGTCTCGAAACTTTTCTCTAGAAAAATACGAACTCACCGAAAGACGCAGTATCCCATCCTTCGAGACGATCTCGGAAATCCCATAGTTGATGCCCAGTTAACCGCGGATAGCTTCAATGATTTCCTGTCCAAAACGTTTATTGAAGACTCGACCACTCCGCTTCCGGCCATCCAGTCACTGACCGGGGCAGTCCTAGAAACTATAACTTTCACTCTCTGGGATGTGACTGTTGCGATTCGGCGTTTTCGTCAATCTTATAGTCCAGGCCCTGATGGTGTCCCAGTAAGCATTTTAAAAGCCGATGCAAACACGATCTTCCCATCCCTCTTATGCAAGATATTTAATCTCGCTCTTGAAAGTGAAACTCATCCTACCTGGTGGAAGGAATCACACATTTTGCCCATTCCTAAGCACGGCAAATCTACATCATTTGATGACTTTCGGCCAATAAACACCCTCCCCGCAGTTTCGAAGATCTTAGAGACATTGATCAAGGATAAGATGATGTGTCACTTAACAGCGAAGTACCTACTGAGTGTTGCTCAGCATGGATTCCTCAAAGCTCGATCTTGTGACACCTGTCGACTCTCTTTCTTTGACAATGTTCTCCAATCTAGAGACCATGGTTTTGCTCTTTACACAGTATATTTCGATTTCACTAAGGCTTTTGACCGTGTTGACCACGCTCTTCGTCTCTTGAAATTGTCCTCTTTCGGAATAGGTGGCAAACTTTTGAATTTTATATCCTCTTATTTGGGCACTCGCACACAACGAGTTAAGATTTCCAATACCATCTCCAACCCCACACGTGTGAGGAGTGGAGTCATTCAGGGTAGTGTACTCGGTCCGCTTTTATTTTGCTTTTTTGCTAATGATGTACCCGATTTATTTCAGAACAGTAAGCCTTTCATGTATGCCGATGATCTTAAAGTTGCATTCGATATAAGCCGGCAGATCGTGACATCGTGCTTGAGCTCCTAAAGAGCGATCTACAGGCTTTCGCCCAGTGGTGCCGCACATGGCGCCTTTCTCTCTCCTGGCATAAGTGCTCAGTCATGGTGGTTGGCGACGACCGCCAACCTCAACTAAGTATTGAATGTCACGCGATAAATGTGCCTGGGGTTATTAAGGATTTGGGCGTATCATACTCCAAGAGTCTCAATCTCTCGGAGCACTGTGCCTTGATAGTCTCCAAAGCACGTAGAACGACCGTGTTTATCCTCCGAAATTTTAAAACTAGGGACATCAGAATGCGCCTTTACAACATGTACCTTAGACCTGGTCTGGAATACTGTTCGTTTTCATTTAGCCTCATGCGTGCTACTGAGCGGAAGAAAATAGAATCCGTTGAACACTTTTTTACCAAGAGAATTTTAACCCCAGAACACCGACATTTGTCTTACCAAGAACGTTGCCGGCTTACAGGCCTCGATCCTTTATGGTTCCGTAGATTACAAAAGGGACTATTTTTGCTATTTAAACTTTTATATAATCACACATTTAACCCACTCACCTCTTTAAGACATCATATCCACCCACGACGTAACAGTCACCGTGAGGTCTTCTTGTTTCTGCCTCTGGCACGTACTGTTAAATATCGTCGGTTCTTTTCTGTAAATGCAATTGCTATTTGGAATAAACTACCCATGAGTGTGAAAACTCTGCAAAATTATCCTTTATTTAAGAGAACTATTACTCGATTTTTGCATTCAGAAAAGCTCCCACAAATTTTGGGTGCTGAATCTACTGATCGACCGTACCGTAGCGATGGCGTTTGTGGTCTCTGAACACTATGGCCGGTCTCACCAGCTGTTCCTCAACGCCTCTACTTTGACTATTCCCAACTTCATGAAAGGAATTTGACGTCCGATAATCTCCGATACCGTGCAACCTCCCCCCTTCTTGACAGTCGATATTCTACCACCGCCGGCAGTTTTTTCTCCTGAGCCCTCCAAACCACAAAAACCATCATCAACTATATTTTTATTCCTTAAGCTCAGGAGTTTTTTTCACGCATCCATTGCAAAATTCTATGGAGCTAGTATGATATCTCTTTAATGACCGAGAAAAATATGGGATTTTCTTTACGCGGAAAGCATGCACCGTGTAGAGTGTAATCACTAAGCGCTAATGCAACGAATGATCAGGCTCCAAATTTTTCGGCAATTAGAAAACTTTTTTAAAACCTAATTATGCTCCTTCCTTAAGTATAAAATAAAAAGAAGACGTGATTCTCTATTGATTGACTAAAAGAAAGCTTATTTTTGTTTGCGGTTTCTATAAAATATAGTTGAATTTGCAAGACCATCGAAAATCGATGGGAAAATGCATGCTACTTAAGTAGTCATCTTTTACCGAGCACGCTTTCTACAGGAGATTGAAAAGAAGTGCATTTAAAAGCCGACATCCTGCCGAGTCCAAAATGTTATAAGAGCATGCCTTAAGATAATCAGTATCACAACCGCGACCAAGTAATCCTTCCTAATCGAAAACGCATTTCAGAATTTCAGCCAACATTTCATGAGATAGGTCACGCACTGTAACTGTTGGGGGCCGACGACATCCACATGTACTTCTGCTAAATGTCGCGTTTCATTTCATCTACTGGAGTCCTCTGGCCGTCCTTTGCTGAGGCCTTGTGTGGTTGTCAGCAGGCGAATAAATAGTTTAAAGCTACCGGGCCCTGCTTTTCTGTTCTTCTGTTATCAGTAAACAAGGATGTTGTTTACATAATATCGACCAGTAGCCATACAGACACTGGTAACTGCCACGCATGTGTCAGTCTATCTCACAACATTGTCGCTTTTTAATTTCTAAATTGGAGTATCTACCAGAAAACAGACGGAGAATGCTGGGGGACCCACTGACGAGCCGAACCCCTCGCAGCTGCGCCATGCAGCGGCAAAATATCGGCGAAACACGCGCGTATGGCCTTTTGGCTAGTACCTGTGCTGTTAGTATGGTCTCACCTGATCCTAAAGTGTCTCACAACATGTTAAGTGACGCTAGTAGGATCTGTATATGCCTCCTGACTGCGGCATGCCCACCTTATCAATAATTAATGTGGTGGATCGCCCAATTTTGAGCTGGTACTATACCCGAGAGAGTGTAAAACAGAGTTTTCGTGGATCAGTTGAGGCACCGATGGAGTCTATCCGCGCAATGAGGGAACACCAACCGGCTGTTTTGTAAATTAATCAGTAACAATAAAGTATTCTTCTTTTGAAAAGTAACAAACACTACCAAAGGGTTGAGTGAACAGTGAGGATTAGAAACTAAACGAGTGGACCCTAAACTAACAGCCTCACACGTATATGTCAACGATGTCTGAGTGACAGTAAGTGAAGACAGTGTGCAGGTGTTGTGGTGGGAAGTGCGATGGCGGAGGGGGGGGGAGGGGCAGGGATACACACTCTGAGTTAAAGAGACTGGCTCACAGCTATGAAGTAGTTTGTTCTGCATGCATTTGTGCTCGCTGAAGCAAAGCCAATCAGCGCGCGCTGTTGGGGAGTGTAGCATTGTTCAGCACCCGCGCTAGCGGGCGATTGTGTTTGAGAAGGATTTCGGCAGGGGGTAACTGAAGCCCGAGGGAGACGGGATGCAGGGGCATCATGAAAGACGGTGGCAATTTCTGACTGGCCTCTCCAGCAGCGAAGTGAGCTACGGTCTCACGTTTGGTTTCGAACATGTCCAAGCAATAGCCGGATTGAGCCAGCTTCTGTCGGGACAGTGAATGTCTCAACTCCTCCACTGGCTGACATAATCGTCTTGGACGTCCGCGAACACCCCGTTTCACAAGGCCTGAGGGCCTGGTGGCTAGAGCCTTGTTGCTTAAGGAGGAGGAGGATTTGCCCGTCCTTTCTCGTGTCCCAGAGAACTTGCCAGCACCACAGGCGATCCCGGTTTTCTTGTAGGGGTTCACTGCATGGTGATGCGACTTGTCAAAATGGCGACCCAGGTCCCACTTCCATTTGTAGGTAAGACCACAGATGACACACTGGTGCGGTCGCTCCTTCGAGTGTACCATGATGTGCTTCTGCAGTTCGGTGGGCCACTTGGCGAAGTATTCGCAGTGTGGACAGGGATATCCTGTGCGGCCCAGCGAGCCCTTTCGGTGGGTGATCTGCAGTTCCTTGGAGACAGTAAGAATCGCGCGTTAACTCGAATGCATAAACACTTTTATATGGCAGTTAGCAGACTTTTCTGGGATGAGGCTGCCTGGCGAACAGAGCAGAAGTAAACAAGAATGGTGAGATTGGCGTGTACCTAGAAAGTCTGGCAACCAAAGGAGAATGACACGATTCATACCTCCCAGGCCACAGTGAAAAATGAAGTCACGAAATTTTACCGTTGGATAACGTAGCTCTCAGGCAGCCAAGCATGTAGTGTAGATATGCCATTTCATAAGATGTTAACCGTAGTTCGGAAATGGGTTTTTGATTCGAAGAGATTTCACAAGTAGGGCTGCAATATTAAGTAGTATACTGCATAATCCCAAGATGCTTCGGTCAAGTCAGGATGCCGGCTTTTGGGCGAGCTTCTTTCCAGTCGTCTGAAAGTACTGAATTAAGAAAAACTGACTACCTAAGTAATATGAATGTTCCCCAATGATTCTTGATGTTCTTATAAATTCAAATTCATGTATTTTTGGAATACATGCATGAAAATATAATTTCTTGCGGTTACTGGGTAGTAAATTATTTCTTCAAGTTTTATACTAGAACAGTATCCTCTGGTTTCAAGAATTTTCTGTATTTTCGAATTATTTTGAACGCAACCCACCGTTACACCTGCATGTTGGGCTTCTAATCTACAAGCGGTATATTTTCCGTGGAAGGTACATAATGTATTCCTACACCTAGTAAGGTGATGCCACATATGGCCCATAAAATTGGGCAATGGTTGTCGACCACGATACTAAATGGACAGATACGATGCTTTATGCATGGCATTTTACGGTCTTGAAAGAATCCATAATTCCAAGTGTATTTTAAAGCCGAAATATGTCCTTTTGTTTGGTTATACAATCTGAAAAAGACGTAATTTTCTACCAAATAAGCATAAGAAACAGCACTTTCGCGCATGTTTTCTAAAAAATATATTTTGATTCAGGAGGACATCGAAAATCAATCGGGAAGATGCGTACTACTTAAGTAGTCATTTTGCGAAGTGCCGTTTTTCGGACGGCAAGAAGGAGGCCCGTCCAGAAGTCGGCACCCTGACGTGACCGAAATATCTGCAGATTTTGACATATTTTAATTAATATTACAACCCGCAAAAGTAATCCTTTCTAATCGAAGCCAATATTTCTTGAGGTAGCTTCTCTACTGAACCTAGTACAAGAGAGGCTAGAGACGATTTCAAATGGAAATAAAGAGCGTTAGCAGACAATTGGGACCGCCGACACCGTACTCAGATTTGAGCGGCTAGAAATGGAAGTGTCATTTGCCTGCAGCCCACTTTTCCAGTCCCATGAAGCTGGTCGTCCGGCAGGTTATTGGTCCTACGGAATGCTCTATTCCCAAGCCACTGTACTGAGGTAATATTTGGCGACTCAAACCAAAGTGGTCGTATGCGTGCTCTGCCGTCTGCGCTCTACTGGCAAAATAAGGCAGGTCATAGGACCCTTCCCCGCACACCGCCGGCCGCTTATTTCCCGACTTTGTGTCAAACGAGCAAAGAGCGCTGTGCAAAAGTGTGCAATTCGAAAATCAGTTCATGACACAGCCATACAGAGTAGAGCGTAACGATGGAGAATGCAACTGAATTGAGGAAACCGGACGGAAATTGCAGATCCGCCTCCATGAGCACAAACTGGCAACTCGGAGACTTGACCCAAACCGACAGCTTGTGGCTCACATCGGGGAAACTGGTCACAGTTTTGATTTTCAAGGAGCAGCCGCCTTAGGCAGGGGCACCTCAAGGACAGAACGTTTCACAGTTGAAGCTTAGTTCTCAGATGCCAACTCCATAAACAGGTATCTAGACTTTCCTCCGGCCTATAAAGTCCTACGCCGCTACATAAGCCATGAAGAAGACAAGACAATCATACAGAGCCTAATAATACCGAGCAGACACGGCCTGTCGACCAGTTCACCCAAAAGGGAACGCAAATGCAACTAACCCCAATTGAGGTTACGACACACAATACAGGAGGCCACCAACACTCACAAGCGACGGCCAGTAGGCCAAGGCAGCGAAAGAAGAAAAAAATCAATCAGCCCAAGGCCAACTAATCCGGCTGTCTATCCAAAATTCTGATCGATTTTTGCACTAGACACTTTGATAATGGAGTTCCGCCCAAGCTCTTCGAAACGTCAGCCAATCAAATCCCTCGATCCGGTGAGCACTTCCTTTTCCTCAGATTATCGACCCGGATCTCTTACTTTTGCTAACCTGTGTTGATTGGTCAGTCTAGCTTATAGAACGTAATATGCGTGATGCCGTTCAACCTTGGAGGTCCGGTCTAGAATCGCCCCAAGTGATGGCATGGGTACTATATCACCAGTAACCTGGTAGTGTCATCAACAAACAGGAGCGAGATTGAAATGACCATTTTTGGTTTATCTACACACTTCACCAGTTATATGACGATCATCAGAAAGGAACAGTCTGGTGCCGGAACTCGAACTCTTTATTTCTACAACATCTGAGTCAATAACATTTGTCGGTTATTGGTTGTTTATCGCTGCACTACCGCCTGTGGGGATTATAGGCTGAAGTATAGAAAACGCCTGCCTCAATTATAAATGTCTAGTGAGCCAGAGTTCGAATCCAGGGTCCTGCTGTTCTAGGGTTAAAGGGTGACTGTCTGATGAAGGAAAACACCTCAAAAACGCTAACGTTGGCCTCCTCCGATTTTGGCAATTAAGCCGTACTCCATTCGCATATAGACCGCATTCAAATCACACGATAACTGCGCAAACAATGGCGTGAAATCGAAAGGTCAGTTTTGTGTCGCCATAGGTTCAGTAATTCGGCGCCGTCCGGCAAGCGAAATGCAAAAAATCCTATTCGTCGACATTGTCAGTAAGTTGGTGTCCCCAACTGGCCAGATTGTCGTAGACCCTCTTATGTTCACATTTTGGTACTCGTTATTTAGTTTAGTTTCCACAACTGGCTCCGATGCGGATGTATTGAATCGGAACTAGGATCGGTTCGGCTCACGGTGCGCGTTTATCGGACCGTGCCGGATCCGCGCGAGCTCTCAACTACTGTCGTACACGCGCATTCCAGACCTTAGACGTTTCCTTTCCCGCCGCGCCAGCAATTATGTCCATTCTCATCCCCCGTTGGTCCAGAGGGCCGGACAGTCGACCGGTGCATGGGAGAGGGAGAGAGGGAGAGAAGAGGGGGAGGTCGACACGGAAAAGCAGCGCACTGCTCACTTTAATAAAGCTGACGCTCCTGTGTCTATCAGGACGTGCTAGGATTCTTTATTTGGAAGGCCAACATCTGATGCTATAAGTCAGTTGTTCTCAGGACCGAGAATTAGGGCCCCATGGCTCCAACTTAACGTCACCTTTGTGGCAGTCATCGGGACTGGACCTAAGCGCCCCCTTCAGCAGCCGGATGCATATGGCAGGAACCAGCTCGTGTGGGGCACGCGTAGATGGTTGTTTGGCTTTTGGGTCACTGCATTCGCGCCCACCTCCAATCTTTTTGGCATGAACTTCCAGTCGGAGCGAAGTGAATGAGGAGAGGGAGAGTGCGGTAGATGCTTCGCAAGTCTAGCCCACTGTGAACAGATTCACGCGCATGTCACCGATGTTGGGCACATCACGCGGGAAAGCTGTAGACGTCGTTGTCTACAACGGGCAAATCGTTGTAATTATTTGAGGAAGAAGAAGAAGAAGATAGGCTCTCCGGAACAGGTTTATTTAAACGCTGACGTTTCAAAGAACTTGGTCGCCTCTCCATTGTGAAAGCGTAAAATGCACTTAATCGATCAGAAATCTAATTTAAAGTGGCATGTTGTGTTGGTGGGTCTCATGCTGATCGATTTTTCTCTCCTCTCGCTGCCTCGGCCTCTCGGAAGATGGTTCACGGGCATTTTGCCTGTGTGCTTTGTGAGTCACCACTCCGTCGAGGGGAGCTGATTGAACCTTTTTCGGGCGGGCGGTCGGTCTGGCGGTTCTTGTTCTTCCTAGCCGGATGACTTACACTGGTATGCTATCTCCAGTGAGTTTTATTGATACACTTGACGAGTCAAGGCGTACTCATGGATTTTCAACTTGTTTTGGATAGACCGACCTCATTTTCCCACATAATTTCCTACCAAGACACGCGTTTCGCAGATGTTTTACATTCACATAATGCGACTGCGATCAGTTCGACTCCTCGGTGGACATTTGCGACTGACCACTAGGTTTCAGCCTTCAATGATGTACTACTAATTTAATAAGATATGAATGTGGGAATTGGAAGTAAAATCTTCAAGAGTCGACTCTCTAGAGTCAGTCCCAAACTTGGGTCGGATATCTTATTCGGAATTATGTCGTTATTCGGACAAGTTTTGTAAGGCACAATGATCAGAGACCAAATGTGACGGTTGCAGTCACTACTATAATTATCATATGCAAGAAAGGTAGTGAAGTTGAATCGTACTTCCTAACATATTTTCTCTAGTTACCTAGCTATGCGTAGATCGCGGACAGTTAAGACTTAAGAGCTGAACCTGACCTAGTTGTTTCAAAAAAAGGCAATGAGATCTATACAACCACAGATCTGAGAGGAGGAATCAAAGGGACATTAAAATCCACCCATAGTACGGAATGGAGGCCTACCTGAACACAAACGCTTTCCAGACTGCAGGACTTCCAGGATCGGTTCTGGGCGAATTCACGCTGTAGGGTGGCATGGTGTTCGCGCAAAAAATGCGCGTTCAGCTCACGCAGCGAAGGAAAGAGGGCCTTGCATTCAAAACAACGCGACACCGGGGACTTCCCTGTCGTGCCCTGCGCCCCTCTGTGTCCCCGTTTGACCGGCGGCGGTGGCAACGGTGCCTGTAGTGTCGTGATATCCAGTCGCGCACTCGCGGAGACACTCATACGGAACTTGGAGACTAATCTGGACGGCGGGGGCAGGAAGTTGCGTCTCTCTGGGGCCACTCTCTCCTCTCCACTGGCCCCCGCTTGCAGCAGGGAGAGGGCGCTGGTGAAACTGGCGACTAGGGCAGACCTCTGGTTTTCGAGGAACGACCAATCGAGTGGTGAATGATCCACAAGACAGCGAGGATGCAGATGATGGGACGGTTGTTGCTGCTGCTGCTGCTGCTGTTGTTGCTGCTGTCTATTTCTGCTCAGGTCCAGGGGGGTCTCGTTCTCCTCTCTTGGCCAAAAACGGGTTGTTGGAATCAGGTTAGGCGGGGGGAGCAGGAGGGTGGGAGCGTTACTATGGCGACTAGCAGAAGTGTGCAGACTCTGGTAGAACCGTGTGAGGAGATTTGTGTAGTTGGCAGGAGGCAGATCCTTGGACAGAGGGCTGGCTGATGTTGGGAAAATACCCGGCGTGACAGCCAGCTTGCGGAAGAAATCGATAGCTTTTGCATTGTCCATCAAGGAGTTGTTCGTCTCTACAGGCATCTACGAGTTTGAAACAATAATCATAATAGGAAGGAGAAGACCACGATTGCAATGTGAGCAAGTTCATTAAGACTTTTTTCTTCCTAGAACAGAATTATATAGGTTGACAGTTTAACAGTACTGATTGTGAACTGGTTAGCTTATGAGTCGTTGCACTGTTTGCATGTCCTAGGGGCCATGGAAGTAACTGGGATGCCTTCAAATCCGGCCTTTTAAGAGCCGAACCTAAGACGTACTGCCCACTTGCCATCCCCTACTTCGAAGTTCAATTTCGGCGTTGGCAGTTTTTTCACCTGTAAGGAATGAGGCTCAATCGCTGGAAAAATAATTTGATTCGCCAGACATTTCAGATTCTGATAGGTGTTTTGGTGGATTTCGAATAATTTATTTCGACTCAGCTGTAAAAAAACCGACAATCTCAATGGAATTCGAACTCACAGTTGTGTGAAAGTACATTATTCAAAATCCCCCAAAAACGCCAATAATTGAGCCTAGTAGTCATCTGATGGGTTCTTGATTGGTTAGTTAGGAAATCCTTCGTGGCCAGTCCGCGGAGCAGCAATACCCCAAACCTAATGGCAAACCTATCCGTAACTTCAAAAGCGAACCTAGGCCTTAATGGAATTATAAACCTAACGCTAAACCTAAACCCAACACTAAACCTACCGCAAACCCTAGTCCTAACACTAAGCCTAACGTTAGCCATGGCCCAAATCCTTACCCTAATCTTAGCCGTGGCCCTTCCCTAACCCTGGCATTAATCCTAACCCCAACCTTAACACTGAACGTAGACCCAAACCACAATACAAACCCAAACTCTAACCGGTACCTTTAAACTTAACACAAACCCTAACCCTGAACTAAATTCCCAATCTAACACTAACCCTGACCCTAAAACTCACCCTACCCCAGACCGAAACATCAGGTTGTCCTTTCCCGTTTAAGCTTTGGCTACTTTCCCACTAACGACTTCAGCATCCTCCTTCGGCTTACTTTACTTGCAATGTTCGCATTGCGCTTACACTTGGGGCCAGGACAGCGTAATCGACCCCTAGCCTTTATGCCTGAGAAGACAGATAAGCCAAAACAAACCTTTCACATGTACACTGGTTGGGATAAATATTCGTGTAATTTATGCACCTTTAAATACGCGGTAGTTCAACCGTCGTGACTGAAGATGTCCACCATATGTTCCATATCAGGGTGAGAGCAGAGACGGCGACTTGCACGTGGGTTCGAATCCCACCGAGGCGCCGAGTTTTTCACAGTTGGGTCAATATGAATTATTCAAAATCTGCCATAATATCTATGAATTACGTGTGCCTGATAGTTATCTGGTGGATTCTAGGTGAATTACTTAGGAAATCCTGCCTGGGCAGCCAACTTACTATATCAGATTTGGTGGATTCCAGACGCTTCAGTAGGTTGGGCAGATAACTTGACCCAAATGTGATTAAACTCGCGTCGTCCGGCGGGGCCTCGTAGCTCAAGTGGTTAGAGCGTTGGCTGTACTGAAATCTTGCCCTTACTGTCGTAGATTCGAATCTCACCGAGGCGCCGAGTTTCTCAAGGTTGGGTTAATATGAATTATTTTATAGTAATAGTATAAATGGGCTTCAAAATCTCCTGCGCATTACGATGCTGAACCCCGGATAGGTGTTCTCAAAAATGGCCCATAGGCCATCTTGGGGGAGAATTCATTTATACGGATTTTTGTGAGTAGACTTCTCTAGCCAAGAAAGAACAGCTCAACGCGTCGACTTCGCTACGCGGGCGGCGTGAGAACGCGTGTGGTTAATTCCCGAGGCACTCACACAAAACCCCTTACTAACTCGCATATTCACCCTCCGTGTAATTGTAGTGGCCTGATGATGAAGTGCCGAAAACATATGTTTGCCGGTGGGCTTTTTGACAGGAATATTCGCAGAACTTAAGGCAGCGATAGGGTGTAGGACCCACAACTAATCTGAGCTAGCCTGTGGACCGTATTATATGTCGAATGGTGATAGAGGGGTTTTTCATCGGTGCGACAAAACACAGGGCGGAAAGCGAGAAAATGGATAAATCTTCACCAAAAGTCCTATCGCACGCTGTAATGCGGCGAATAAAGTGAGCACGACACTTAAAAAATAAATAAAAACTAATTTTTTTAAAAGTAACGGGCTTTGAATAAAGCACCACTGGTAAGTTTACGTTAAGTCAGGAAGGGAAGCAAATTTCAAATAATGGGAACGGTGAATAATAAGTGATGTTTACAGTTACATTGAATTCTAGGCTATATTTTAGGAGTTGCCGCCTACTTGGGGGTTCTACACCCTATCGTTGTCAAACCTAAAAGCAGGTCTGCCTTTCCTTATTGCCGATAAGTCTTACTTGGTCGCGGCAGTTTTCTGTGGTCGTCTGGATTGTGGGTACGGCTACAGGCATCAGGAAACCTCGCACCGAATTCGAGTTTATTAATTAATTTTGTGACCCGTCTCCAACCGTACGGGTTGACTACTAGTAAGCGTCCAGAGGAAAGGTGTCGAATAAACATGCACCGGGTCTACCAAATGCCGGATTTGCGGTGGTTGGCTGGAGTTTATAGATCGGAGCTCAGTGCTAAGACGGGACGTCTGCATTCGTTCTGCGAACGAGACAGATGGGCAGAATACCATTCTCATGTTAATCCTTCTCATAACCGATATGGATACGCTTGAAAGTTGGTATTCGTTTAATTTTGTTGGTCAAAACTCTTGTCAACCAGAAAATTCCATGTCAGAAGTTCTCTTATGCCAGGAAGGAGAGAACAATCGTAGGTGCGCCTAGATCGGTCACCACCCGAGATTAAGCGGATTTTCCGGAGGGGTTCGTTTCTGGTTTGATGCGCACCTATCCTAAACAACTGTGTCTCCCCTTAGGACAGATCCCAGCAAAAGGTGTCTTCTATACATAGTGCCCTTTTTAAGAAGCAGGAAGAGTCAAATTATCAGTCCAGACCAGTAACTTTAATCTGCAACAAACTTAAAGCCTTTCAGGTTGGACGCGGAACAAGTACTTCCGTATTACAGGTAGCTTCCATGAGGGTTCCTGCACCCGTGTCCAAACTTTAACCCCGGCCGTACCCTCCATTCTAACACTCCTAACTACGACCCTAATCCTCCTAACCCTGGCCCTAAAAATGATCACCGTAACCCTAATCCTTACTCTTACTCTCACAATCCTAACTCTGGCCATTCTAACCCTGAGCCCGGCCCCAGTCCAACTCCCCGCCTGGAATCTAGCGCAAGGCTACCAGTAATTCGGAGGGGCCCTTGTAATCGAGCCCTATCGTTTTCTAGTTGCTATCAATCTGATTTCAGATTTAAACCCCTGACCGCGACAGTGTGAGTCACAGCTGAAGCGAAGCACATACCGTAATCGACTAACGTCGATTCAGTAGGAATACCAAGGGTTTACCCCTCACTACCATATGATTATGTCAGTAACTCATTAGAGTCCGTCTGTCGGGTAAACCCCGAAGGACTGAGAATTTGCGAAACGCTGCTAGTTACTTCCGAGTCTTAAATAAGTACTGTGCTAGAGCATCTTTTCACATGGATTCCCCCAAAATTTATTTAACTGGGAAATCCATCGGTAAGCAGAAGACAGTCAGGCTAGACACCGTATCCATCTGTTTTGTTGAAGCCGCAAAATTCTGGTTCTAGGGGGACTTACTGTTAATCGTAATTCCAATTATTCGCCGTACATAAGGGGTTTCTATTTTCCTGCAGAATAAAGCCCCGAAATGAACTTCAACAGTAGTGTCCGGACCAAAGGTAGACATTTGTACGATTAAAGAAAAGCGATAAGGAATGGCGAACGTTTTATCGGTCCACTCCCCCTACAGATAAGTAAATGTACCACCAGACGACTGATAATACGAAATGAGCAAAGTAATATGAAATATGGTTTAAACCCTAGTTCGGGGGTTTCACTGGGGGCGGCCTCACATTGAGGGTCTGATTACAACCGCATCTTCCATAGCCGTGTCATGAATACGTACTAGAGGAGGTTGAAGACACAAACCATAAAGGAAACACATGGTTGTCCGACTCCCCCAATTTGATGCGATCCCGGCAGTTACTACTAACAGTTGCACTGATATAAATTGAGCTTTTTTGGTCACAAACTATTTCACTACTTCACGCGAAGCAAGTGGCCATCGGAGTCGACGTAGATGATGATGCTGTTCCTGAAGCTTATGACCATAAGCCTTCAGACAAATCTGCGCCAGCTCCGAAACAGCGATGATAAACGGGAAGAAGCACGCAACATATCCTACTTCCGTTTCACCCTCTGCATCCTCCTCAAACATTCGCAGGTCCAAAAGCTGAATGGAGGGACAGTTAATTAGCACGGGCCAGTCTCACCTTCGTCTCAAAGCCTCAAAGGAGGACTTTGTACCTGACACGACATCAGACACTCTTTGAGTGTGAGGATGACCAAGGTGTAATTTTGCTCTCCTGGTAGAACAGCAATCTCGCCTGGTCCCACCCTCCACCCCCACCCCACCAGTTCCTCCGTTTGGTCCATCCACCCATTTCCAAGGAAAACGAGCTGTCTGCGACGCAGCAGCTAGCTCTTTGAGGTCACACACACACACACACACACACACACACACACACCAGTCATATTGAATGAGCGGCCGACCAGCCAGGTATGCACGCATCTATTTAATGCTTCAGGCAATTGATTTTCGAACAGATGGACACCAATGAGCAGAGCCCCTGCGCAGGTGAAAAATCCCAAGAAGCAATTGACTCCGTATGTTGTCTTTCGCCCCTCAAATGAGCTGAAATGACTGCCCGTCATGCCGATTATTCCAACATCCAGTCCCGCTCGAAGGAAACACTCTTGGTATCGAAAGGGAGCTGTGGGAATTTCGACCAACCAAGGAGACAATGTGTTATCGTATATTGGCTGGGATCTAGGCCACCGACCGTCGTGTTCTGGACGTCTAACGCGAGGACCATCTTGAC